AGGAAATATTGTATCTTCATCACAACCGCCAGGCGGACGTCGCGGGCTATTTAAACCGTCTGCACCCATTGTAGCAGAATTGGTAGGTATAAATGATGCTGCCGAGGATGTCGCTGATACGGAAGCTGTGTCGCCTTGATGCAAGCGTTGTTGCCTCTCGGCAGCGGCGCGCGCACGTTCACGCAAAGTTCGCAGAATACGCGTTGTACCGCACTGTAGTATATCGCGTCGGATTGACTTGATCGGATTGCCGTCGATTTGCAAATTAACCAAATGCGCCAATGAAGCCAACGACAATGGCAGATTGCTAATGGAATTGTTGGTAAAGTCGAGCCGAATAAGATTTTTCAGAAGCGAAATTTCGTCTGGGATTTTCGTAATTTTGTTGTCGCGCAAATCGAGAATTTTCAAATGTGGCAAGTTTGAGCAAAAACTCTCTGGTAGTTTCTATAAAAAGAAAAGTATGTATAAATTGAAAATTATAATACAGTAAGTAGATACTTGGGTGCTAAACGAAAGAACTCAAAGAAGAGTCCAGGGGACTACTCTATATTGCGATTAGAAACGCTAATCATTCGGATATTCGAATACTTGGCACTATGAATTTAGTTTATAGATTTTCACAGCCATATATGAATAGGAGTAGTTGCCTAATTTAAGGCGCTACGAATTTCTATAGTTAACTGTGATACATTAACATGCCTATTCTGCTGCCGCACATTTTGTAATCATAAAATTTTGTTACCAAACATTTGACACCACTTCTTGTAGCCACAATGCCAGGTAACTTTGTACCATTTAATTTACTCAGCAATTAAGTTTTGTAGAAATCTGGTGTTGCACACATTACGGGGCAATATTTTGCTGCCTGCCTTTGAGATGGTAACAAAATTTTTTGGATACAATAGCGCGGAGGAGGAGAGCTTTGGATAGAGGAAATAAATGTACGATCTCTTATGTATGCGAATGAAATTGTCATCCTGGCAGAAGCTATAAATAAGCATAATGCTAGGAAAACTTACAAGTAATAAAAGTCAAGATGGAAAAATCAGAAATTATGATTTTCAGAAGAAAAAAGAACGACGAAATGTGTCTCTTTAATGGGGAAGTGGGTGAAAGTTGCTCATGAGTACTGCTATCTAGGTGTAACAATGACTCCGAAAACGGTATTTGGCCAGCATGACAGAACGTGTAAAGGTGTGGGCCTGTTCGAGGCACGTAATAAAAGCGGCAATACTGCAGCGCTGAGGAAAATTTACAAGTCTTTTGCAACTTCCCGATTAATAAAACGTTGCTAGAAATTCACACCGAACGTGACACTTCAATAATACGCGCAACATTGCGGTTGTGATTGCAACTCGAACAAGCCCTGTTGCTCGAAATGAAAAGGAAGGTTTCTTTGACCGTATGCAGAGCTATGCAAAGTTATGCAGCGCAGGTTTAGGGCGGCCAAACTTAATGCCAATTCTCGAAACAGATGCACACGGCAACTATTAAACATAACACAAAACACTCTTTCTATACATACATGCAACAGAGGGAGACTGCCTCAGCTCTCCAGGAAAGTTCTAGATCGAGGAATCAAGTGGGTAAAGCAATGGAATACATTAGGATCCAAGCTCAACATAAATTGGTCGAAAAATAGTTTCTTTATATGTACATAGATTTTATACGTTAGTACCATGATTTTTTTTGTAAAAGAAAAGGATTTAATACAAATGAAAAAACACACACAATTTATTTTTGATTTTTTCCCTGTTAAAATTTGAATTTTTTTCATAAAAATGAAAATATTACCTTATATTATCTACAAAAACAAAATACAGATTCCCAATTTTATGTACGCTCATATTCTTAGACATGTTCCCACGACAGTCGGGTCTACGTAACCGGAACGACCCAGATTTATATCTGGCCAAGGACTGTCACTCCAGCAACACTCCCCAAAAAGTCTTTGGGGAATTTGTATGCTGCTACAACAACAACAACAACAGATTCCCAATCTACGACTCAAAGTTAAGTTTACTTGTTTCGGCGTTTTTTTGTCATCTCAAATTTGCGTTGTTCGCTACAGTGTTATTAGAGTACCAACAAGATTTTAGCACTGTCAGTCGTTTTTAATTTTTTCCCCTAATTTATAATTATTAACAAAAAAAATCTTGTATATCTTGCTATTTCATTGAAGAAATAAAGAATCCTGCAACTACTACTACTGAACTGATTTCATAGCAAAAGTTTTTAGCATAAACACTTTCTAAAACCAAAGTTGGCTTACCGCAATTAAATTATTGGCAGCATATAATTCCTGCAGATTCTGACTGCCCTCGAAGTTCGGCAGTTGTGTTATATCATTATGCTGTAGGTATAAACACAATAATTTACGTAGACTGCCCATATCCTCGGGTAGAGAAATCAAGTCATTATGATTCAGGTCCAATTTTTGTAACGCTTTAGTATAGTAAAAGTAATTATACATTTGTTATCTACAACCTTTATTAGTATACATATATGCATACATATGTGGAGAAATTGAAAGAAGAATTTATTTTGTTAAACAATCAACTTACATCGCATATTGACCAGATCTGAAGGCAGTTCTTTTATGTGGTTATATGAGAGTAAAAGCTCAGATACGCGCACTAGAAAACCAATACCATTGGGCAGCGCCGTAAGTGAATTATGTGAAGCATCCTTTTAGTGGAAAAAAATTATACACCATAAACCGTAAGCCGAAGCGTTTTACATTAGTAATTATTAATGCTTAAAGTGATTTAATTGCAAATATAGGTATATATGTATATCTATATATGTACTTATTGTGCATATATATGTTAATATGTATTGTATTTAAATTCATAGTAAATATAAATGTATAGTAGGTATGTGGGTATACTTATTGAATTCAGTTTTATAAAAAGTATAAAAAATTGTTATGAATGAACTGTTCAATAAATTGCATTAATTTAAAATCACACTTCGGTTATGAATGAACTGTTCAATAAATTGCATTAATTTAAAATCACACTTCTTAGCTTAATTGAACTTAACTTAAATAATTAGTATAAGTGTAATTGTTGATAAGAAAAGATATTAGGTCAAAATTATTGTTTTCAGAACAAAAATTAGTTATTTTGATATTTTTGGAACTAAGTAATGTCACAACATTTTTATATTTTCACCTATGCGTAATCGTTATAACAGCGTGCGACAAAAACCAAACAATTTCAAGGCACACGAAAAAATCCATATACTCGCAAAACTTGGGGACAAATATAGTAAAACTGTGTTTTTAGTTTTTTTCTCTGACGTCAGGTTTTTTTTAAACGACTTTGAAATTTTAAGGCTTTGATTCATTAAAAATATTAAAACAAATCAGTGCAATGTAGCGAAATGCAATGTAGCGAAAATTATGTAAATAAAAAATCTTTTTTTTTTGGTTCAGAAGGAAGAATAGGTACTAATAAAGTTAGAAGGACTGCAATTGGAGGATATATTATTTTCAAAAATAACTAGTGGGAATTTCCAAGAATATTCGGCGATAAAATTTTAAAAGGACATTTTAAATATCTGTTTATTCTTGTTCACTAAAAAATTTTAATTTGTTAAATTTTACAGAATTTTCTTTCCTTTCGTTGCACTACACTAAATTTTTAAAATAATTTTTTACAGTTAATCATATCCTTGAAATTCCAAAGTCCTCTTTTGAAGAAAATCCAGACGTTGGAGAGAAAAAACTAAAAACGCAATTTTACTATATTTGGTCCCTAGTTTCGCAAGTACATTGATTTTTTGTGTGTGTGCAAAATTGACCGTTGCACGGTTTAATGATATCTACAATGTCTTTGTCCGTATCTGTATATTAATATGGGTATTAAAAAAATGAGTACGACTACAATTAGTGCTATATATAATCAATGTAGATTAATAATATATTTCGATTTGCGTATAATTTTTTGAATACACTTGTACACGTGTTTACTGCAGTTCAACTGTATACACGCGTATACACGGTTGTGGTAAAATAATTATATGTATGTTAAGTGGTTAATTAATTCGTTACATACCAAATACTCCAACATGTGCAAATCACTTAGACTGGGATGTAGTTCTTCAAATTCATTGTACGATATGTTCAAGTAACGCAACTCAGGTAACGAATAAAAATCAACAGGCAACTCTCTCAACTTGTTTCGACTTAGATTTACACGTACTAGCTTCTCCAACCTACAAATTTCTCTGGGAAGACTGGTAAGTAAGTTGTCGTGAAGCTGCATAAAAATATATATAAAAAATTCGGTGTTAGTAGATATTTTTAAAATAACTGTATACAAATATGAGACACAAATATGAAGGGACATTGTTAAGTAAGTAAGCTTTTAAACAGGGCAGTTATTACAAATGAATTTGTACCTTAAAAAAGGCTATTTTAAGCAAGAAATAACAAAAAAAAAAATAAATAAAAGTTAAGTTTTAACTTTTTAGGGTTTCTAGTGTCTTTTTTTCTCGGACTTTTCGTAATTTTTTGGGATATATTCAGGACTTTTTGCAATCCTTAGTGTTTTTTCAGGATTTATCGGAATTTTTTCGAATTTTTTTTTTTGTCTTTTAGGAATTTTTGTGAACATTAACATACTTACTTACCGTCAATGTGGTTAAGGTATCGAGATTTTCTATTTTCGGCGACAAATGCGTCAGGGCATTAGAACTTAAGTCTAAATTCGTTAGAGGCATTTGATTCCACCAAGCATCTTCTTCCTTGACTGTTAGCTGCTCTAGCGAGGTTGGCAAATCTTTATCAATGTCATTTATTTGGTAAATTTGATCAGGCACTATAATGTTGAAATCATAAGTTTTTCATTAAATATGTATGTATGTATTTAAATTTTTCTTGAGTTAAATAAATACAAAAAGCACATAAAAGTCACAATCAACTCGATTATCACATAGTAATATAAAAGATATGTATTATTTGATTGTGGTTTTATTTTAAACACGAAACATTTAGCATTTAGTTCAATAAATCAATTTACGCTCTATCGGCAAAGGTTCCACGACTTTCTGTTCGATTTCATCTTCTGTTTCTTGCTCGCTGGTCGAGGAAGCCATGCGATATTCGCGTATGTGATAGTATAAGCGCCGATGCGCTGGACCACACATACAAAATGATGTGAGCTTTTTGCGCGACTGCTTTAAGGACGCAATTTTGAAGGTTTATTTTTGTTAAGTTGGGCTTCGAAAAATTATTTCTTGACAGGATGCACTTTTAAAACTTGCCAATCAGCCACAAAATATGCAACCTCACGCTTAAACAGATAATTCTTAACTGTGTCAATGCATTGTGAATTTTGCATTAATGTTAATTTTTTGCAAGAAAATTTACATTCATATATGTCTAAAACTAAGCAGAACAATTGTGATGGTTAGCTGAGCATGAAATTTGCTTTTACCATAAATGGGTTACATTATTTACGACACAGTCTTAGGTGATGTAATGTGATACTTTGCAGTTTTAAATAAAAAAATATAAATATATGCTTGATATATAGTTATAGTATATGTAGACATATCTATGTATGTATGTATGCGTGTATGTAGTATGTAGAGCTAATCAACTGCTCTTGTAAATTCACTGCCAAGTTCAATGAAATAAATGCATTCACAGGCAAATTCATACATGCTCATTGTACTCATTGCACTTGGTAGCCCAATTTGGTAAGTTGTTGATGTCAGCATACGCCGCAGACAAGTAACAGTTGACACAAATAGCTTCAAAGCATAAAGTTTACAATTATGGCGAGCTGCTCAAAAGAGGACAATAAGTAATGCTAAATCGCGCAATTTTAACAGGAAGTTTGTGTATCAAAATGGATTTGTGTAAGACGGCATAAAATGGTTTATTTGGACATTTTAGAAATACACCTTTTAGCTAATTATATATTTTCTATTAAATAATTGTGGTTTCGCGAAACAAATATACATACATACATATGTGTGTACTTACTTCTAAAACTTTTTTCACCTTTATGCAATTTAGTACACTCCTGAGCAAACAGATATAATTTTCTTGTACAAAAATAATTAGATTATGCCTGTGTGCTTATCTGCCTTGTAAGTGTAATATTTTTATTATATTGCTTATGCGAACTATTGATAGCATATAAGTGTTATTCTCTACTAAAAATTTTACACTCAAATTCAGACAGACCATAAATATCAACTAGCAAATGACCTTTGTAAGAATACACGTCCGGCACATAGAACTTACAACCGGTTGAGAAAAACTCACTGGTGTGTACTGCTAACTGGCAAACATGGTGACGCATACAATAACATTCTTAAGGACGAGTTATTGATTTTCAGTTTGCTTTGTGTTGTTGTGCAAATTTAAAGAAATGCGGACATGAGTTGAATCGGTTTGAATACTAACCTGTGGTTAAGCCTTTGCCGCTCAGCTGCAATGCCCCTGTTTTGCGTGCCTGTTTGACTAGATATGCTGGTAATGCATTTTCATCTTCCGCTTTTTCCCTTTTATGAAAAAGTGGGTTCAATTGACCGAGCCTTGAATGCACACGATGAATTCGAGACGAAGAATTATTAATGGAGTGTATCGAATTGGTAGTGGATGTGGTAGCATTAACGCCAGTACCACCAATGCGTCTATCGTTGTTCATTTCGTTTAAATATTGTGCAGCGTTGTAACAGCTGCTTGAAGGCGCTGTATCGATATTTTGATCCAAGGAGCGCCAGGACGTCGTCGGTAATTGTAAGTTGTTAAAGCTGCCGGTTAGATAGTTTGTCTCGTTGCCTAGGTTGTGGCAGAAATCAAACAGTGCATCGTTGGCATTGCCATTGCAGTTGTTGGCTCCTGAGAAGCGGTTTTGCTGTTGCGACCAGTTGCCAGCGCTCAAATGTCCAAAATTAAAGTAGTTTTCTTGGCTAAGACAGAGATAATAAGATGGATAATTGCAACAACTACTGGAACGAAACGAAACATTAGATGATGTGTTCTAAAATTTCAGAACTTAATCAATGCAAACTAATCCTACAATAACAATTATATAGACAAATTAAATTACTACGTCAGACGAGCAATGCCGCAGCGCATTAAATGCCCCCTACAGCGACGATTCAACTTACACAGCTTGATAACGACTGAGGCGATTTGTAATTATTCATTTATTGTATTGATTCTTATAATTGTTTGTTTTTGCTTTTACCTGTATACTTTATTTTTGTGATGGTTTTATCGACAATTTATCGCGCAATGCAATTAACTTCTTTATTTTTTATTTCAGCCTTCGAATGCCAGCAGTGAACAGCTGACTCTGCAGCTGATGTTTACGAAAAAGGCGAAACAATTGCTGAGAAATATGACGATTAAAGAGACATCTAGCGGGTAAAATGATTTTAAGTGAATTTAACAGTTTTCAGAATGTTATGTTAACAGTGGCTGCTAACTGTTTTTTAATTTTAAAGTTATGAATAACAAAATAGTTAAAAATAGCGAAATCGAAAGTCTACTTTCCCGTGTAAACCAGAAAGTCCTTTTTGCATATTTGCAGAAATCAAAAATCATGCAAATCCCTTTCGAGAAATAAGTACAACTTGCTCGTGCTGCACTAGCAATTTTAATTTTTGCTGCAAGTGCTGTCAAACCAATCAAGTGTTGCCGTGTGACGCGTTTTTTGGCGAATTTGTAAAAAAAAATATAAAAATGTTGAATAAAATATGAAAATTATGTGTAATTAATTCATTGTACTGATATGGAGTATTTAAGTATTGCATTATATACTTTGTGACTATTTTTTGCACATCTTAGCAGGTTTAGCAAATTTTTCAGGTTATTAATTTGTTATAAGCATAAAAATGCTTGGTAACATAATTGAAAGTGGGCTTGTCTGCATTCACCGTGTAAACAGACAAAAAGTAGTATCGGAGAGTTTGATTTTCAGAAATAAAAAGTGTTTTCGAATGTCACTTATGTACACGCAAGGTGTAACTGCTCCTGCAATCTCTTTTGAGTTTGACTGACTTTTGAAAAGGACTTGCACTTGCCACGTCTAACAGCGACTTTATGAATGGGAAGCTTCTCTGGACTCTTTACCGTTGACCGACATTTTCTCGGATACCACTTTATATGAATTTGCCTTGCAGATATCTACATATGTATGGCTTACATGTGCACCACTGATGTATAAATTACATTCGGATTGGAAACATAACGGGTAGAAAAAGCTAAGGTTAGGGATTCCAATAATTTAGTCTTTCTTCGTTTTTGCTTAAAATGCTGAAGGAATCGCAAAAAGCGGCACTTCACTGTGGGTGCCATTCCTGACATCGATGATGGAATTTGCCCCTCCTTGCTATGCGACAGAACTCGCGACAGTGTCAAGATTTTCAACTTGATTTCAGAACAGAAGCTATCGGGGAAGTATGAATTTGAGCAACGAATGAAGAAAGCATCAATGGCTTTCACTACTGCAGGGAGAAATTGCAAATTTCCAGGCTCATGTGTGTATTCTTGAAGGCTTTTACTTTATCCCTCCTAATAGGGATCTCAATTGGGGCCAGCAATTAGCTCGTTTTCCATTGAAATCCACTCTATTAGCAAACGAGGGCAGTGGTTGGAAAGAATCAATGGCGAACTTTTAAAGGAAGGGTCGAAGCATGAAGGAAACAGGGAATCATCCATCCTCTCTGAAATTTTCAAGCAAGATGTAGGTAGCTGCCATTAACGAGGCCAATTGGCTGTTCAAATGTGTGACGTATACTCTTCTTCTTTTTCTTCTTTATTGGCGCTGTAGCCACTTAAACGATTTTTGCTGATTTTAACAGATCACGCCAGTTGTTTCT